TATTCCTAACAGCAGTCCAGTCATCACGGTATATACACTAACTCCTCTGCCCTGATCGAAAACAATAGCAATCAATCAGAAAGCTGGATTCACATAAACTTCCATAAATTTCCATACAACAGACTGTTTACTGCATATAGAATACAACATATAACATAACTTATATATTTTATTTATAGTATTATGTGTATATATCACTCATAGATATATTTATAATTGTGTATATATTGCTCATATAGTTATATATCTCATACATACATCATCTAAACCGCTTATCCTTCTGGGTCACGGTGGGGTGCTAGAGCCTATCCCAGCTGTCACTGGGCAGAAGGCAGGAAACACCCTGGACAGGTCGCCAGCCCATCACAGGGCAGACAGACATACACATTCACACCTAGGGGCAATTCAGCATTTCCTATGGGCACGTCTTTGGACTGTGGGAGGAAACCGGAGTACCTGGAGGAAACCCACGCAGACACGGGGAGAACATGCAAACTCCACACAGGGAGGATCCCGGTTGCCTGGCTGGGGATCGAACCCAGGCCCTTCTTGCTAGGAGGCGACAGCGCTACCCACTGCGCCACCGTGCCACCCTATATATGTCATAGATATGTCATATTTATGCCTGTTATCGCACATTTGCACTGTCTGTTTTGGTCACAAGACAAGACATGACAGTTAAAATCAGATGAAAAAACAATAGCAAACTTAAAAACCTAAACCTATTCATACTATGCAACAACCTATTGCCTTGGTGGGCATAAAACATGTCTATGTTCCATTCACTGAAATGTTAGACGTTTACTTTACTTTTTAACAAAGCCCATGTCAGCTTTTGTAGTAAAAGGGCATTATACGTAACAAATTCGCAGAAAACTGACAACAAAGAAAATTTGTTTTCAGCTTTGGTTGAGTAAAAAAAAAAATAAATATTCCTCAACGGACAGATCTATTTTTAAACATCACCCTGTGTTGTGGCTGTAGTTATCTGTTTTTTTTCGCAAAAGCCAGCCCTGGTTTAGTGAAGTCCAAAGAGTGATAAAAACTCTGGAGTCTACACTTCCAAAAATAAAGTACAAAACCGTCACTGGGGCAGTTCCCCTCTTGCCACTGGGGTGGTACATCTCAGTAAATTGGTCAGGGAATATAATTGTACCATAATCCATGGAAATTATACAGGGAGATTCACTTGAAAGAGGCCCCAAATATTCTGTTGTAACTCCCATTAGGATGAAGCAATCTGAACCAAAAAAATCTGCTACATACCTTGACGTCTGTGTAATCGATTGCATTACATGATTACATGATCGATTGCATTACGATGCTGGAAGTGATCTCCGTTTTCCTGCCAGACAAATTAAGGAGTATGGGGGTATGCACCCGGAAGATGCGAACGGAGGTTAAACGTCGCGACAGCTGTCCAGCGCCTGCCTCATCACTCTGATGCTGGGGCATCCCGGCTTATTCGAAGCTCCATATACTGAGGATCACATTGTATGTTGTTTTGTTCAGATTGCTTAGTCCTAGAGAGAGTTATTTCAGAATATTCAGGGCCTCTTTCGAGTGAATCTCCCTGTATTTTCTAAGCTGTATTGACTCCACACACCCCGTCTCATCTCCAGGCTTTTTATTTTATTGTTGTTTTTAAAAAATAGCTTGTGAAATGATATAAATATGTACTTTTCCACTGAGAAAACTTTTTTAAGGTGCACAATTAAACCTTAACACCACTGTTGTACCTTTAAGGGTAAATTTGCATTGTTTGTACCTTGATGAATGAAAAATGTACCTGTTTTCCACCAAAATCATGTCTGAGCCATGAGGAAGAAGAGGTCTAAAAACCCAGCCACAAAGTTATAAATCTTTGGTTACCTAATCAGGCTGCCTTTGAAGAACATCCACGACATTAACATGTATACATTACATTTGCATATCAGATAAATAACATGACAGCATTGAGACATCACAACAAGAAGAGCAGATTGAATGGAAAAATATAGTGTGTGGTGACACTTTATTTTGAGTGTTCCTTTTTAGGTAATAAACACTCAACAGACTCACAGTAATATCAACAACATATCAATGATGTAGTTGCAGTGAATACATTCAGTAGAGTTTTAGTAGACTTTTAATTAACTGAGTAAATACAATTTGTTTATAATCTGCTAAATTCAGTTATTTTTGACCTTATTTGGTGCCTGAATTCATATCTGTAGGTGTTTAACTTGAGAGGTCAATAACTTGTAACGGGTTTAATACAGACCATCTCTGCATCCTCAACAAACTGTTATAGACGCACTGCTGACTCTCCAGGTGCTCTCGTTGATGACAGAAAAGACTTTTTTCCTGGTATGACTTCCTAAACAAATCTGTTGGCTTTGAGGTGGCATCTGATGGTAAATTCGTTATGACCCCAGAACACTTCCTCTTTCTGTAACTCAACTCTTTTTACCATCCTCCTTCCTCACTGTGCATGGGGGCAAAATAAACATGGGTCCAGCTTTGTCACAGTTGGAACTTTTTGATGACTGTCCTAACTGTAGACATGCTTATTTGAATTCTGTGTTCTCTTGTCTTTTCCATGTTGAAGAACAACTAACTTAACTTACCTGATATATATACCTCAGTAAAACATGAACTCATGGATTGCTGCTCGAATGTTCCTGGAGACTCTGATCAACTTAAACATGTAAAATATTCATGGAAAAAATGCCAATAATTGTGTTTTTGTTAAAAATAATTCTGTCTTGATGACGGACATTTATTTCTCAGAATAAATTTACTTAAGGTTGGATTTTTCTCATTGTTTTAGTGTCAGATTAAGCTAATTCACCAAAAGATGAATTTCTTATAAATCTTTTTACTCATCTTTTTCAGAGGTGGCAATAATTATGGAGGGGACTGTGTATGTGTGTGTGTGTGTGTGTGTGTGTGTGTGTGTGTGGTACCGCACACCAGAACTCACCTTCCATCCAAGGCTGTGGCAGAATTATAACTCTATATGGTTTTCGTGGCTTTGAACTTTGATATATATTGAATTTATACAGATATACAGTGGTGCTTAACAATTCACACAGACATAAAGATCACATGGGCAAGCCTGAAGGCTATTGGAATAATGTTTTGTGGATGGATGAGACCAAAATAGATCTCTTTGGTTTAAATGAGAAGCGCTATGTTTGGAGAAAGGAATCACTGCACAGGAAACACTGCATTCCAACATAACAAACCTTATCCCATCTGTGAAACATGGTGGTGGTAGTTTCATGGTTCGGGCCTGTTTTGCTGCATTAGGGCCAGGACGGCCTGCCATTATTGATGGAACAATGAACTCTGAATTATACCGGCAAATTCTAAAGGAAAATGTCAGGACATCTTTCCATGAGGTGAAACTGAAGAGAACATGGGTTATGCAGCAAATCAATGACCTAAGCATACAAGTCATTCTACCAAAGAATAGTAAAAGAAAAATACAGTTAATATTTTGAAAAGTCAAAGTCTTCATCTTAGTCCTAGAAATGTTTTGGAAGGGCCTGAAGTGGTAGTTCGTGGGAGGAAGCTCACCAACATAAAAGAGTTGAAGCTGTTTTGTACAGAGGAATGAGCTAAAATTCCACCAAGCCAATGTGCAGGACTAATCATATGTTGCTCCTAAACCTGTATATATCTTTCAGCATTAATGAAGCCTCCACAGATGTGCAAGTCACCCATGCCATGTGCACTTATGCACCTCCATACCATCACAGATGTTGGCTTTTTAACTATGCACTGAGCCAGATGGTGTCTCTCCTCTTTAGCCCAGAGAATGCGGCATCCATGATTTCCAAAAAGGATTTCAAATTTCGATTTGTCACACCACAGGATACTTTTCCATCTGAGCTCAGGCTCAGAGACAGCACCAGTGTTTCTGGATCCTCTTCATATATGGTTTCTTCTTCACATGGTTGAGTTTTAACTTGAATTTGTGGATATAGTGACAAACTGTTTTCACAGACAATATATCAGAAGTGTTCCTGAGCCCATGCAGTGATTTCCACTACAGTATCATCTCTTTTTTAATCTATAGATTTTTAATCTCATATGTGACATCAAAGGACATTCTACATCAAGGAATAAACATCTTGGGAATGTTGCATGCTAAAGATGCACATTCATTTTTTTCCCCCCAGACTTGCATTTTGCCATTTCAGTGAGGGCTCCAGTGCAATCAGATCCCTTTCAGCAGCTTTGTAATCCAGGCTTGAACTGAACTTCTGTTATTTTGAAGACTTTTTGAAGACCCTTGCATATGAAGATTTCTCAAGATTCTCTGAATAGTATAATGATATTGTGTACCGTAGATGATGAAGTCCCCAAGCCCTTCGCTGTTTTACATTGAGAAACATTATTCTTAAATTGTTGAACTTTTTGCCCACAAAGTCTTACACAGAGTGGTGAACCCCTCCCCACCTTTACTTCTGAAAGACTCGACCTCTCTGTAATGCTATTTTAATATCATGTTACTGACCTGTTGCCAATTAATCTAATTAGTCATGAGATGCTGCACCAGGTGTTTTTTTTCCAGCATTACTCAACTTACCAGTCTTTTATTGTCCCTGTACCAACTTTTTTGAAACATGTGGGTTGCTGGCATTAAGATCAAAATGGACATATATTTTTCAAAAGAAAATAGAATTTCTCAGTTTCTCAATTTCTCAGCATTTGATTTGTTGTCTTTATACCTTTGTCAATGAAATATAGGGTTTATATTGCAAATTGCATTCTGCATATATATATATACACTTTGGTGCTTGGCCCCCTAAGATTTGAAACGGATACCTGATAAAGCCCTGAACAGTGGAGGGTGGCCTGTTAGTGTGCAGTAGGTGCTAGATGGTGTCATAACTGGATATTTGCTGAAGGGTTGGGCTTCCCAGGTGACCATCCTGTGTCACCTTTGTACAGTCCTATGAGAAGAAACACACGAGTGAATGATTCACAGTAAGTTTCCTTCAAAGAATTTTTACCTCACCATTAGAAAGACCGCTTACTAATGCTAACTAAACTCTATACTTAAGCTTTCGTATTAATCTTGGCTAGAACATCAAATCTGTGTTTGACTGTCTAAGGCTGTACCGTTTTAGATTTGAAAGAGAATATAGAAATACGGTTGGCTGCTGTTATCTTGTATTGAGATTCCTACTCTCTGACAGTCACTTATGACTGCCTGCCATTATACAATCCTATCAAGTTTGAAACATCTCTTGTTAACGTCTTCAAGGTAAACGTTATGGAAAAAGAACCAAGTGAAGTATGAAATTACTTCATACCATTTACAAGCAAAAAAGTCAATATATACTCAGCAAATGAGGCTGGAGGACTGGTCTGGGCTGGCTGAACAAAAGGGCGAGAATGAAATAGACCAATTCCATTTAAGAACATTTTAGAAGTCACAGCTCGCGGCTAGAAAGATTGCACATTTGTGTAGACTTGTTGCAGAACCAGCCTTGAGGAGTTGTTGAGTGCAGATGGGACATGTGGCTTTAATTGCTTTAAGGTAAGCTGTGACAGTAGATGGATGTTCTTGTCAAAGTTTCTCTAAATGTACTAGCAAAAATAGATACAATGCACTAGCAAAAAAATGCACATGAACCTTTTTTGTGTTTAGATAAATGTGTATAAATGTACTTATAAATATATAACTCAGTACCAAAGCTTTGTAAGCATAATTCTAAACTCTAATCCCATGATAATGTACTATAATTAACTATGTAATGACGTTAAAACATGTAGCACAAACGTCACCACACTGTAATCCCATATTTTAGTTAAGGGAACGTTTGTGAGGATTTTATACTTTTGAATGCGTTTTTGAGTTGAATCATTACAGTTTGACTTCAGTCTGTTACCGTTGGCAGCTTTGAAACCACCACATTAAGTGAGCTGTGTTGTGTGAATGAAATACAGTGTTATGTTTGTTTGGTTTACAGAATCTATTTGGGTAAACTTACTGCTTTCTCACTAGCTCTATTTGCATACTGTGTGTTTCTTTCCCCTTGTTTCCCTTAGTTTTCAGCAACTTGCCTAACACTCTTGGTCAGTGCTGGCAGGATATTACAGTGAGCACATTCACACTTAACCCATCAGTGTTTGGCAACATGGTCAAAATTTGAAACAGTAAGCACTTAACTATTAAAATATGTAATCAAGTGAAATTTTAGATCTGAAAAACTGATCTGAAAGGTAAAGTTGCAGAGCTTATCTTACATAAAACATATAAAAACAGTCATTCTAATATGCTGTGTTGGGTTTTTTAAGTATATTAACTTAGAATTGCAGGTTTGTTCACCAATGCTTAAATAATAATAATAAAAGTAAAATGACCAGAACATTTCATAATCATCATAATTACCAAATTCTTTGTGTTGATTAGAAATTTTGTCAGGTCAATATAAAATGAAAAACTAAATGATTTCATAGATTTTTTTTTGTTGTTTTGTTTTCACCTACAAAGTCAAAAGTTCTACTGACATGTTTTTAGCACTGCATCTCAGTCAGGTTGACAACACAATTTAAAATGAGCTTAATAAAAATAAGCCTCATTCTCAGCTAAAACTGCCCCAGTTCTGCTGGAAACCAGTATGGTTGTCATGAATGTCATCACATGGTATCTTTAGACTGAGGCGGAGGGGGTAATGCTTCCTACTCTCAGACTCTTTACCATGGAGGGCGGTGGTGTCATTGGGACTTGCACTCGTGATATCATGTCTCCTAATGATCAGGCAGCTAGACAGTTGCACCACCCAAATTGTTGAATATTGACCTCACCCTAAGCAAATTTACCTTGTCATTCCATTTGGATATAGAAGTCCACACTTTCCCAGTTCTAGAGTGATGTAGCTGTTTAACTGCACCATCCTCAGAAGAGCCAGACTCTGAATCCTGGCAACATTAGCATAGTGTAGTGGGTAATACAGCTGCCTTCTACACTGTAAACTGGGGTTCAATCCCTGTCTGGGTATGCACCCTACACTATACCAATAAGTGTCCTTGGGCAAGACTCCCAACACTACCTTCACCTACTTGTGTAAAATGATCAAATTGTAAGTCACTCTGGACAAGAGCATCTGCCAAATGCCGTAAATGTAGATGTAACCATCATAGCCCTCCATGCTCAGCTATGTAAGAGTAAAATGTGCCCACTGACTTAATGGGAGTCTTATGCTGTGTTCACCTGCTTTTCGGTAGATGAACAATAGAAAACGGATATTACATTATTTTGAATGGAACTGCAAGCGACAGCATTTCCACAGACTGCAGCACTAAGCGCTCCATCAGCAGTGAACTGCAGTGGTGAATTAAGTAGATGTCGATTTTTTGGGAGTCGTGGATGCCCAACGTGTTATTGTTGAATTACAGATGAACCCAGTTTTAGATAGCAAACATAAAAGAGTGCACAGCGTCCTCCTCTTTTTTCTGCCATGAATGAACAATATACACTGCAAAACCTCTCCTTTAATAATCATCAATTTTCCTCGGCACCATGGTAACCATGCCAACATTTGCATGGCTTCAATTCCACTATGAAGTGAGGAACTACATTTTTTCATCTCAAACATGTGAACGCAGCATTAATCTGCAGGTTGCAATAAAGTGAGATGCAGAACTACATGTGAGTTAAGAGAACGTTTGACTTAACTTGACATTGAGCAAACCATAACCAGCCAAAACTATTCACCCAACTGCACCCTATGGTCAGAAAATAGCCACTGATGAAAAATGAGAGGATAACGAACACAAACTTTTCAGAAAGAAATGAGCTATGATCTCTAACTTTACATCTACCAAGAAGACAGGTGTGTCTAATAGAGTGGATAGTAAGTGTCAAAAAACTCCAGTACAACACGCACTAACATACCACTACCATGTCAGTGACCACTGATGAATGGGGTAAAATAATGGCAACGATTATGCAGAGCAACTAGAAGGACTGCAGCTTGAAGTAGAAATAATGGCAGGACCTTATAAAAGGGAGATACTAAGATACTAAGTATGTACTAAGTATGTAATAACTGTAGATATTAATAAAGTGGCCAGTGAGTGTATTTCTGTTAAATCTGATGGGGGAGATGGGGAAGGTGTTTTGTATGGCATTCCTGGAGCAAAAGCATGATCAGAGCAGTAGATGAGGTTTTGGACAAGTTGTACTGGTGCTAGAAAAATTCACAAGTGTTGATGCACAAGCTAACAAACTGTAGCACTTCAAAAAAAGCACTTTTTGAAGTCCACAGTTGGATTTCTCACAAATATTGATCCCAATATGCCATTATAAATGAGCTCATAAATCTTTGTAACTTGGTAACAATGATTTAAGCATATGTATAAACTCGAATAATGCTTTGTAGAAAAAGGAGCACTGTACAGATACAATTTTTGTTCTTCAAGATATAGATAATATACATTTACCCTCAAATGTACAACAGTAGTTTCAATGTCCAACTGTGTACCTTAAATAAATTCTTTCCAAGAGAAAAGCACATTTGCACATTGCAAAACAGCTTATTACATACTAAGGCATACTATTGAGTAACTAGAGGGACCTCAATGCAAATTGGCTGAGCTACGCTTAGGTTACAGAAGTGTGTAATAAAGCTATGGACCTTGGCCATTAAGAGGATAAGTTCTGGGTGTTAACCAGGTAAATATGACACCAAAACTCTAAGGTAACTTTATGATGAGGACATGATGGTAATTTCCAAATAAATATTCCCAAAGAATAACTATTTAGTCCTGCTAAATACACTGAAATATCACGAAAGAGTTCTAGTGGCCACTGCAATTATTTTAGGCGAAAAGCGTTGAATAATTATGTGTCATACAAAGATTCAACATGAACAAAGTATTACATTTTATGAGTATGCTTAAAAAGCATTGTTACCAAGTTACAAAGACTTTGAAGCACATTTATAACTGTTTATAAATACAAGCTTTCTAGAAAGCATTACCTTCATTTTCTCTTTGAAAAAAATGGAAAGGTCTGAACATTAATGTTAAGGATTAATATTGATTCATATTAACACTAATGAAATTTACAGATAATTAATTTTCATGAGATTTACACTAACAGGATCTCTTAAATGCACCTGTCTTTTCCAACCAGTAAACAAAATAGTTTATCACATACAGGGAAGGCTCAGTGTTTATACCATATGTGATTCTGAATATAATCAGTTCATTCTCCAGAACGCACAGATGGCAGGTGCAGTATCCACACCCTAACTTGTTGTTGGCTTTATAAACAGCATTATACTCTGCTAGCAGCTCCTGAGCCACCGAACTGACATGTCTAGCCTTTTTCTTACAAAGATGTTTTTTTAATATCTGTATACACATTCAAAGTACTGCAGTTGGAGTAACACTTACTGCAGATTTTGCTTGTAGGTTTTTTGGAATTGAAACATATACATTCCAAGTGCTTCATTTCAAATTTTTCAAAAATATTTTGATTTCTTTTTCATGATTTTTAAAGGATCATTGCACAATTTATTGGCATTAATAAATGTATTTATTTTTCATGTGTTTCTTCATATTAGTAGCATTATGTTTTGGACACCTACATTGTCTACCTGGAAAATAAATCAGAAACACCTCTATATGTATTGGGAAGTTGTATGGCGTTAAGTGGCAGCACAAAGTAGGGTAGTTATCGTAGGTTAATTGTAAGACTCCTTAGAACTATTGTGAAAATCATTGCTTTCTCTTACAGCCCAGATTCAGATGCATTAATAGGTGATAAACAGGTAAATACACTGTCAGAAAAAAGGTACTCAACTGTCACTGGGGCAGTATCCCTCTTGTCACTGGGGTGGGACCCTCAAGGGTACATCTCAGTACCTTTAGTCAGGGAACATAACTGTATCATAATCCATTGAAATTATATTCTCTAAGCTGTACTGACTCCACACACCCCGTCTCATCTCCAGGCTTTTATTTTACTGTTCTGTTTTAAAACATCAGCTTATGAAAAGGTACAAATACGAACTTTTCACCTGGAAAAACGTATTTAAGGTTCACAACTGGACCTTAAAACCACTGTTGTACCTTTGAGAAAACATTTACATTGTTTGTACCTTCATGAAAAAAAAATGTGTCTGCACAGAACCTTATTTCTAACAGTGAACTAAGTGGGACTTTTGGTACTTTGTTCATGTTGAATCTTTTCATAACCCATTTTTGTTCAATACCTTTTACCTAAAATGATTGCAGTGGCCACTAGATATTGATATTTCAGTGTATTTTGCAGGACTAAATTTGCAGGACCAGTTTTATATTTTAGTTTTACATTACAGTTTAACATTTTTCATAACCTAAGAATATCTCAGCCAGTTTGCACTGAGGTCCCTGTAGTTCCTGAAAAATGAGCCTTAGTATGTAATGAGCCTGAGATTTTAAGGGGTTTGTGAACTATAAAAGAAAACATTACCAAGTAAAGAACTTTTTCACATTGTTCCTTTGTTTCCAAACATTTGGATTTGTTTTATTATGTTAAGTTTGCATGATGACACTTAAGGAGATTTGGAGATGTTTCTTTCATAAACATGTGACTGTGATTTTTGTACAGGCTGAATTTCTCCTACCATGCGTGACAATATAGATTGATATTATAAATAATGTAGATTGAAATGTCCACAAACACTTTAAATAATTTCCAGCAGGTGTTTGTTAATAAAAGAAACACTGCTTTTGGGAATGATTCATACATCACTTCATAATCCTATAATGTAACTTGTTGGAAAACTTCTATTGCATCAGTTCAGTCATGTTCTTTTTGTTTTCCCATTACAGAAAAAAAATGCCTACTTCATCTAGAACACATCAGAGTTTTCTAATATTCATGGGCTGGCTTGGTGGAATTGGCACATGTTTGCTGTTTCTGCAATACATGTCACAGAACTGCTCATCCTTCCCTTATCCCCACATTTCTAAACCAAATTCTGACAAAATCCCAAAGAACACTGATCCCGCTCCCAATACCACTCTAGCTGCTCAGCCAGAAAAACCCATCCTACTGCTGTGGGTCTGGCCTGAGAACTACAAGTGGGACTTCAGTGACTGCAAAACCTTCTACAACATTGATGGATGTCACCTTACGGATGACAGAAATCTGTATAATCAGGCAGATGGGGTTCTTATCTTCCACAAAGCTATCAAATATGATCTGAGCAACCTTCCTCCATCCCCTCGTCCTCCTTTTCAAAAATGGATCTGGTTCCATGTTGAATCGCCAACTAATACTCAAAGAATTCCAGCTCTGGAAAACCTCTTCAACCTCACGCTTGGTTACAGACGCGATGCCGACATCTCTGTGCGAAATCTACTGACCGTCAGCAAAACCCCAAACAAGGAGTTTGAGCTTCCAAAGAAAGACAAGCTCGTCTGCTGGTTTGTGTCCAACACCAACCCCAGTACTGGAACAGGAACCAGGATGAAGTACTATGAAGAGTTAAGCAAACATATAAAAGTGAATTTATATGGAAGTATAACCGGATCACGTATGAAGGACGAAGATTACTACCCTACCCTAGCCAGCTGTAAGTTCTACCTGTCGTTTGAGAATTCCGTCCATAAGGACTACATCACTGAGAAGTTCAATGGCCCACTTACAGTAGGGACTGTGCCTGTTGTTTTGGGACCCTCAAGAGAAAACTATGAACAGTTTGCTCCAGGTGATTCATTCATTCATGTGAATGACTTCCCTAATGCATCAGCGTTGGCCCAGTATCTACTTAAACTGGACAAGGATGATGAGGCTTACAGACAATACTTTGATTGGAGAAAACACGTCTCTGCGACTCCTCATTTAATCCTGTGGAATCAGGAGTTTATTTCGTATATTTGTCATGCTTGTGAATATATTGGAAAGCACAAAGAGTATAAACAAGCACACAATATCTACAGGTGGTATTTTTCATAACCAGCAACACTGTGTCATTTTTAAAAGGAACTATTTTGTAAATCCTGGAAAATTGGTAACATTTTATGTAAATGCTGCCCAAATCAGGGCATCATAACATATTATGTAAAAGGTAACTGTGTTCTGAATACTGCCTTTACAAAATATATCTTGGACTCAATAAAGACACTTTTTTTGTATTCTGAATGTGGATTCTGAGTACTTATATTCCATTATATCCCAACCTGTCTACAGTCCATAATTGTACACCTATGTACAGGGCCGAGTTAATATCCTCTAACGCCCCTGTTCAAATGCTCATCTTAGCTATGGTGTCCAATCCTAAAGAACAAAATCACATCTTCTCTTAATCACACACCCTACATTTCTGCTGCCCTCACTATCAAAGCAGTATGTGGCCAAAATGTACAAGAATTACACCTTTTGGTGGTTTCCTTTCTGACCTATCACTGTTGTCGGAAGAAAACATCGTATCTCCATTTTTGTCGTTTTTGAGTTTTTGAAACAATTTGAAAACACCTGTTTCCCTTTACATTGTATGCAAATTTCATGATGAATGGACTAAAGGAAATGACAAAAAATGACTCGGAAAAAAGTCTGGTTCCATTGACTTACATTGAAAGTAAAGTAGGTTTTTTCCATTTTTCCTATATATATATACAGATATGTGTGTGTGTGTGTGATTGTGTGTGCCTGAAATATATATAAATAAACATTAGTCTGACTAACGTTTAGGTGTTTGCTTTATGTACAATATATGATGTATTTTCTTCAAATGATAAGTTCAGTGTGTTTGTACGATGCATTTCTATGTCTTGCTGTTGTAACACTGCACTTATCTTTAAAACAAATAGTTTTACCTTTCCTTATCTGTCACATTTGCTTACAGGTATGTGCAACAACTTGAGCGCTGCTGATCAGAGAATGTGACCTGCTGATTTTCCTTTTTTTTAATAACCTGGCATGCGAACAAAAGTATTTGAAGATTGATGTTAACAGAAAGTTATCCTACAGGTTCATGTTTGAGTTACAGAGAAAGCTAATGTCATCTTTCTCCAGATGAACTAAGAGGGGAAATGTATACCTTCGTAGTAAGGCTCTATTTCAGGTGCCTGATAAAGCAGATCATGTAATAATGATTTGATGGTTTATGTATGTTTTTATACACATAATGTTCATATATGTTTATCAGTGCTAAATCGATGTGATTGTGTTATTCGCTCTATTGTCTTCTCTTCTAACTGAACTTAAATGAAGACAAACAGAACAACAAATTTTCTTCAGTTCGGCTCAATTGTAGCACATAATTTCTCTTTATTTATTTAACAAAACAAAAAGAATACATAAAAAGGTCCTGACATCTATTTTTACAATGTCAAGCTTTTAACATCAGAATCTTTTTTTTCAAAAAGGTCCTATGTAGAACCATCTAAAACACATTCTCCATCAATCTGAAGGACACTTTTGTGATGAAAGGAACCCTTTAATCGTGGAAAAGGTTCTTTGAGTGTTCATGGCTCTTTATAGAATCATTTTCTTTACTAAAGAACCCTTGAAGAACCATCTTTTTTAAATGTGTACGTACTCACAGCATCATGTTCAAACAGACTGCACAGACTGATGCTCATTTATCAGTGCGGTATCCAAACATTTGCATCTATTAATGAATTCATACTTGGTTATTTGGCTTTTTGCCATACACTCATTGTGAGCTCTTTGTTTACATCATACCAGAACCGGTGGCATGATTGACATGCATTCCGCTAAACAATGACTTCATGAGACGGCATCAATCAGTTTTAGTTTAGTTTTATTGCATAGAAATAAACAGAAATATTTGTTGTGTGAACACCCTGAGGTATAGTATTGTAAGCATTGTAGTAATTCTTTGATTTCATTGTTAGACAGGTTTAGGGTTAAAATATTGAAACCCTGCAAGATTGTAAAATCAGGACTTTCCTACATGCAACTAGACAGATACAGCCAAGCCAGCCCTCCCAGTGGTTAAAACCAGAGGTGGGAAAAAGTCACTTAGTTGCAACTAACAAGTAAGTCCCAATTCTTGACACTCAAGTCCTGAGTCAGGTCCCAAGTCATGATAGTCGAGTCTCGATTCGAGTGTGTAGCACTCTGCAGTCAGATTCTCCATGTTTCTTCCACTTTTGGTCTTGAGTCTTTCTAAATCATAAAGCTGAAGTCCTAGTCAAAGTTCAAGCCACTGGTGTTGAAGTCAAAGTCAAGTCGCAAGTCTTTCTTGATTTTCTCAAGTCAAGTCTCAAGTCATCAAATTCGTGATGTGAATTGGTTTTGAGTCCAAGTTATTCGGTCCCACCTGTGGTTAAGACTTCAGGAGCTGAACTCTCTAAAAGCCTTAAACATTAGATTTACTCTCGTGTCCAGTATCACAAGGAAGGTTTGATGGGAGTAGTAAGACTGAAGGATGAGCCCCATACTCCTCCAGAGCCGCATGCAGCTCTTGTTCTGCCCTGTTGTGGCTCCACACCAGAACTAGAGTTTTAGGTAAAAAAATAATATAATCCTTCTTTACAGTGATATAAAGCTCTGCTGATTGTTCTAACACAGTTTTAACAATAAAGGGTCACTGGAGTTAAGGTAGCCTATAACTTTTAATTTACCCTTTAAGCTTGAACACTGGCATGCAGACTGCTGGTCACCATAGCAACACAGACAAATTCTCGCCTGGCTAGTAGCTAACGAAAAGGCAATGAGAGAGAGATATAAGATGAACATTGATAATTTGGAGACTTTTTTGCATTTTAAGCGCTGATTATTCTGCAAAGAGGAACTGTCAAACACTAAAAAGTCACAGAGCTGAAGTCAGCTCCTCATTCGCCAGCTTCTTCTTTGACTTTTCCCGTTCCAACTTAAATGGTGCAGCAGTTACATTGTGTATTACATTTAAGGTGGAATGGGAAAATTGCAACAAGAATTCTGGTAAATGAGAAACTGACTTCAGCCTGTGAAAAAAAATAAATGTTGAGAGATATTTTACAAGAAACCGTTCCACTTTAGCTGAAACGTTTCCTGCCGGAGATGTGAGAAAAGTGGCTATAGCTAAGCTAAAGCTTAAAGCAGAGCAAGTTTGCATTTGTTTATATTACATTTTTTAGCCTACACTAGCACATTAGCACATACTGAGTCCTATTTACAGCCAAGATGGTAAAATGGACATAAAATGTTGTGGCTCCCAGTGTGGTTTGATTTTCAAAGGACAAAATGGCTTTTCTTTACATTTAAGCTGCTGACCGCTGACCATCATTGAACCCAATTACACACTTGCTAAACAAGAAGAATATTCAGTCACCCATCATTGTACATTGTGGTCATTTCATGAACTTTTAAAAATGTTTTATATCAATGAACATAACACCGCACTGTTTCATGCAACAACCTTCACTTTACAAGTACTTTTTGGTCAACAAATTACCACCGCAAGTCTTATCTAGCACCAATGCAATTGCATCCCTCTTTCCATGCTGGGGCTAAAATTCAAAAGACTACCTGCTTCCTACATATTCTACATATCCTACATACAATTCTGTAGCTTCACATTAACGATACAATTAACAACTATGTAGCTACTGGTAATGCATCCACTGTTATGGTTTTATGTACAGCTTAGTTGAATAGTAGTACAGCTTATGTAAATATGCATGTGTATCAACTTCTGTTTTAACGCATGTGATTACACAAGTGTATCTCCACTGTTATAAAAGTATATTTTCTCTTATGATATGACAGGTAATAGGGTGAGCTGATTTTTTTGACAAGCATATTACTATAGTTACCTAAATGTTTAGAAAGATGTCAGTCCCACTTTTAATTTGTCTCTGATAACTGTGTAGTTACACATGAAAAACATATGCAATAACACTTTAACTACTGATGATTTAGGCAATGTTACAGATGGATCGCAGATATACAGCCTATGTAATTACATGTGTGTATCAACTTCAGTTTTGCCTCATGTAATTACACAAGTATATCTTCTACATAGGAACTTTCCTGTAGTGCAGTGTTAAAGTTACACTTTAAAATAAGTGGACAGTTCCTGTGTAGTTCCTATGTAGGTACTGTGTAATAATGGAGTGGTAATATAGATATTGCTTTGATGGTAATGCAACACATTTAATTAATGCCATAAAAGTTACATGATAAGATAGGGGGAGATCTGCTGTACTGTCATATTAGAGAATGGTTTAAAGTTGAAACTGTTTACTGTGTCACAGCATTAGCAACATAAGTGCTAGCTAAATGTTAGAAAGGCTGGCAGATACCAAGTAATGTCTTAATGTAAGGTATCACATACTTTCTTTTACTGCTGGGAAAAAAAAAAAATGCTCTTCCAGTCTGATTCAGAATGTAATTACATGTATGTCATTACCCTTGTGTAATTACATGAGAGATAATTGACTGTTACAACTATTAAGATACACTTGTGTAATTACATGAGGGAAAACTGAAATTGATACATATGTGTAATTACATAGGGTGTATTTCTCTAAACCATCTGTAACAGTGACTAAATCTTTAGTAGTTACATTGTTGTTGCATATGTTGTTCACATGTAACTACACAGTTATTAGTGACAATATCAAGTGGGACCAAGATGTAATTTCCAGTGCAGATACAATGTAAGTACTCTCATAATGCAGTTAATTACACACCTGCTGTTACAATCAGACAAACCTTTATGGAGTTTACCCTATTACACATGTCTAATCACATAAGAGAAAATATGCTGTTACAGCTCATACACATTCCACACACCCAGTCTTGTCTCCAGGCGTTTTATTTTATTGTTCTGTTTAAAAACAAATTGGGTAATGAAAAGGTACAAATAAATACTTTTCCGCTGAGAAAACTTATTTAAGGTACACAATTAAACCTTAAAACCACTGTTGTAGTAGGGTACATTTTGAGGGTACATTTACATTGTTTGTACCTTGATGAACAATGTTGAAGAACTGTATTCTGCAAAAACATCTGTGTCTGAACCGTAAGGAAGAAAAGGCTTAAAAACCCAGCCATAAAGTTATAAATCTTTGGTTACCAACTCAGGCTGCCTTTGGAGAACAACCACTACATTAACATGTATATGCTATGTTTGCATATCAGACATGACATGACATGACATCATTGAAACATCACAACAGGAAGAGTTG